ACCCTCCAGGAACTCCCCTGTGGGACTGGGGACCTCCCCACGGGAATGGGGACCCTCCAGGGTCCCCCCCCATGGGACTGGGGACTTCCAGGAGCCCCCCAATGGGGATTGGGACCCTTCGGAGACCCCTCATGGGTCTGGGGACGTCTGGGACCCCCCCATGGGGATGAGTACCCTCCAGAGTCCCCCATGGGCCTGAGGACCCCCGTGGACCCCTGCGTGGGTCTGGGGACCCCCATGGACCCTCCCCATGGGGAAGGGGACTCTCCAGGGACCCGCCCCATTGCCCCAGGCAGACCCCTGATGGGTCTGGGGACCCCCCAGGACCCCCTTCCCACGAGCCTGGGAACCCCCAGGGACCCCCACATAGGCCTGGGGACCCTCAGAGCCCCCTCCTCATGGGCCAGGGGCCACTGCATGGGTCTGAACACCCCCAAAGCCCCTTCCCCGTGGGCCTGGGGACCCCCAGAGCCCTGTTCCCATGGGGCTGGGCAGCCCCCCTGTGGGTTGGGGACCCCCAAAGCCCCCTCCTAATGGGCCTGGGGACTCCCAGAGTCCTGGTCCCATGGTCCTGGGCACCTCCTAATGGGTCTGGGTGTCCCCAGAGCCCCTTCCCCACAGACCTGGGCACCTTCCACCATGGGCTTGGGAATCCCACCATGGGCCTGGGGACCCCCAGAGCGCCCTCTCCACGGGCCTGGGCATCCCCCCACCATGGACCTTTCCCCTGCCCAGAGTCCCCTCAACTCCCAGGCTCTTCCCCACACCCTCCACCAACCCTTCCCCACCTAATTTAATCCCTCCCCAGCTGCCACCTGGCTGAAATCCTCCCAAAAATCCAAAAGTTCATCAGCTCCTTTGCCCAGGGCTGATTCCTGCAGGTTTTCACCCTTTTTTTTTTGTTCCTTACACGGCTCCTTCAACTCTTGTCTTGGGAAGAAGCTGCTCTAAAAATGACTTTTTTGACCTAAAAAATGACTTTTATAACCAAGGAGTGACCATGAGGAGTTAAAAGCTACACTAAACACGGTGAGGTTGTTTGTGTAATTTATGTCACCTCCCCCAGCTCCAACAATGGGCACAGTGTGGAACCTGCTCTGCCAGCACGGACTGGGATGGGGCCGGTGATCCTTGGATTTATGGGACACTCAGGAAGGAATAAAAACCTCCCCAGGCTTTCCCAGCACCTCCATGACCTCGAGATAAACCTCCAAAGTCGCTTTTCCCAGCTCAAGGGATACCAAGGACAAAGTTAAGGAAAATAAACACATAGGAGGGGATTGGACTCACTCCACATGGATTCCCAAGGACTTACAGGTTCTTCTTTACCTCTTTTACTTATCCTGGGATCATCCCACAGCCTGAGCAGCAGGGGAGGGGGAATTCTGCCCCTCTGCCCCACTCTGGTGAGACCCCACCTGCAGAGCTGCTCCAGCCCTGGAATCCCCAACATCAGAAGGATTTGGAGCTGCTGGAGCGAGTCCAGAGGAGGCCCCGGAGCTGCTCCAAGGGCTGGAGCCCCTCAGCTCTGGAGCCAGGCTGGGAGAGCTGGGGGGGTTCACCTGGAGAGGAGAAGGCTCCAGGGAGAGCTGAGAGCTCCTTGCAGGGCCTGAAGGGGCTCCAGGAGAGCTGGAGAGGGACTGGGGACAAGGGATGGAGGGACAGGACACAGGGAATGGCTTCCCACTGCCAGAGGGCAGGGCTAGATGGGTAAGGAATTGTTGGCTGTGAGAGTGGGGAGGGGCTGGGATGGAATTCCCAGAGAAGCTGTGGCTGCCCCTGGATCCCTGAAAGTGTCCAAGGCCAGGGTGGAGCAACCTGGTCTATTGAAGGTGTCCCTGCCCAGGGCAGGGGGTGGCACTGGATGATCTCAAAGGTCCCTTCCAACCCAAACCATTCCATGATTTTATGATTCTATCTATGATATTGGATCAACTGGGATCATTTGCTTCCAGCAGAACCTGTTGATGAGGCAGGAGATGATCTCCAAGGTCCCTTCCCACCCAAACCATCCCATGTTCTTGCCCATCTCTGGCAGCTCCAGCTCCATCCCACCAGCAGCACTGGGGGTCTCAGACCCTCCCCAGCCCCAGCCCAGAGAAAGACTTGGGTTTAACCTGTCACTGTAATGGATTTAAATGCCAGGGAGTGGGGTGAGATGGGATTTTGGGAAGAGATTCCTCCCTGGGAGGGTGGGGAGGGGCTGGGCTGGGATTCCCAGAGAAGCTGTGGCTGCCCCATCCCTGGAAATGTCCAAGGCCAGGCTGGAGCAACCTGGATTGCCTTGCTGAGGGCAGGAGTACAGAGACAAGGCAGACGATCAACGTGATCAAAACAATGTCCAATTTATTATTTTAATCAGTTAACTTTTATACAGTTTAGTTTGTTCCAGGTACGTGCTCACAAGGTGATTGGATGGCTCAGTCAGTGCACGCGTCCCCTGCTCTCAGTTTATTGGACCTGGTGCTCTGTCCACGCGGTCTGAAATCATACTTGGCGTGCAAAGCTCCTTCTATTGATCCACCTTTAGGGTTTTTCCGAGGTCTGCAGGTGTTTCATTATCTCCACTTTCTCAAGGCTTTCTTACTTTAAACATACCATGTTCTCAAACCTTATAATTGTAGACACAAGGCTAACAAGTATAAACACTGCATATTTTCACACAGCTTATAAGTACAAACATTACACCGCTTGTCACTTCTAAAGTCATGGCAAGCAAGGTCTACAGAGTGCAGGAAAAATTGTTCAGAGAAATCTCTCTGCTCCGGCCTCATTGCCTGGAACTGGGAACACCTGGAGCCGGGAACACTCGGAACTGGGAGCACTTAGTGCCAAATCCAACCCTAATCCTAACCCTGATCTTAGTCTCAGTCCAGGTTTGGACATACTTAGTCCTGTATTTAATCTTATCCCAGGCTCAAGCCAAGCCCCTGCTCCCATCCCAACCACACCTCTAACCCTAATCTCGTATTTAGCCTTGACCTCAGTCCCAGCTCTAACCACAACCCCAGCCCTAAACCAAATTCCACATTTGTTCCTAACTCCAACTTCAGCCCCAGTTCCAGCCCCAACCCCAGCCCTAACACCAATCCCACATTTATCCCTAACTCACACTCCAGCCTCAGTTCCAGCCCCGATCCCAACCCCACCCCTCACCCTAATCCTACATTTAGCCTTGACCCCAATTCCAGTCCTAATCCCAGTCCCAGATTTAGCCCTAACTCCAATCCCAGCCCCAATTCCAGCTCTAACCCCAAACCCAACCCCCTTCTAGCCCCGATCCCAACCCCAGCCCTAAACCTAATCCTGCATTTAGCCCTAATTCCAATTCCAGCCCTCACCCTCTGTCACCCCAATCCCTCCTCACGTCACCCAAATCCCAGTTTTTCCCCCTTTCCCCCCAACCCACCTCTGGCCCCGCCCCTCACCCTCAAGCCACGCCCCCAGCCCCCTGCCGTCCTCTCACGCACCGCCCCCCCCGTGTTGCACCCCGCGGGTTCAGCCAATCAACGTCTCCTTGCCCTATTTAGGGCGGGAACCCGCGCGTTTCCCCACCAATCACGCCGCCCTCCCCTTCTCCCTCCATCCAATCGCAGCGGGCAGCTCCCGCTCCGTCCCCACCCGTCCAACGCCCCATTGGCTCCCGCCGGCGCGCGCGCTAGGGGGCGGGTCTTACCCGCCTATATAAGGGGGCGGGTGGCACGCGCCGCCCTCACACTGAGGTGGTCCCGCTTCGGTGTTTCCGTGGCTGTTTCTGCTGCCGCTGCCATGGCAACCGCGCTCTGCCCGCTCCGCGCCCTCGGCCGCGCCGCTCTCAGACCTCGCGACCGCCGCCTGCACCTCAGCGCGCCCAGGTACCCCGCGGGGAGGACTGGGGGCGGCTGGGCGGGAGCGGGGACAGAGGCGGTGCGGGCTGAGGAGGGGGCCGGGGCGGTGGAGCCCGCGCCGGGGGTCGCGGTTACCGGTCTCGCCCCGTGGCGGTGCCCGGGGAGCGGGGCAGATCCTCCCCCCAGCGGCCGCGCCGAGCGGTGCAGGCTGATGAAATCCCGCGCCCGCCTTGCGTGGGGGTGCGGGGCTGGACACGGGTGTCCCCCGGGGGGGCGGTGGATGGAGACCCCCCTCGGGACGAGAGAGGCAGAGACCACCCCGTGCATCTCCTGAGAGCGACAAAGACCCCCAGCCATCCCCACAGAGAGACAGAGACCCCTGAGCATCCCCCGGGCACTGGCCCTGGATTTAAAGGGTATGAGAGTGACAGAGAGCCCTCCCCAGGGTGAGAGGGGTGGAGATCCTCCTCAGGCATCCCCCGAGAGAAGGACAGAGCCCCCTGAGCATTCCCTGGAGTGAGAGGAGCAGAGACCCTCCCGGAGATCCCACGGGTTAAGATGGACAGAGCTCCCCCCCCAAGCATTCCTTGGGCACTGGACCTGGATTTAAACGGTGTGAGGGAAACAGAGACCCCCCGAGATCCCCCGGGCTGAGAGGGACAAAGGCCGCCCAGGTCAGAGGAACAGAGACCCCCTGCTCCAAACAGGGCTCTGAGCTCCCTCTTTGTCCCCCTGTAGCTCCCCCGGGGGCTGGTGCTTCTCCCTCTCCCTGAGAGCCCAGAGCACCCCGATCTCAGGGAAGATCCAGGTAGGTTTTGCCTCTGATTTAAGGAATTTTCCATTCCCTGGCTTGCCAGGCACTTGTCATAATTCCTTTTACATCCAAATCAGCATCTGGTAGTTTGGCACAGGTTTAGCTCTGAAGCTGGAACAAGAATTAGAGACCCAGTGGGCTGGGACTGGTTGGTAAATGGGTTTGACTGGTTGCAGGTAGGGATGAAGTAACACTTAATTCCCAGTAAATGGGGAAAACTGCATGTTTGAGTAAGGCAGGGATTAAAGCACAAAAGCTCCTCTGCACCTCCCAATAAGGATTTAGGGAAAAGGCTTCTCCTACCTGAGAAGGCTCGTGTGTGTCTGGAGCAGTTATGGGAGTGGTTTTCCCTGGTTCCAGCTACTCCCGGAGTTCAAAGATTGTACCTGGAAAAGGTCAGAAAGCAGCACTGTTGGACTCAGTCCAGGATCCCAGTAGGAGAAGATCCATCCATGAGGCAGCCGATGGATTTTTGAGGAGAAACTGCAGCAATTCAGCTTTTTCTGGTGGATGTTGAGGTGCAGGGAGGGTGGGAAAGTGCTCCTGGTCCTGTTGGGCTTTGTGGGTCAGCTGTCTCCTGGGTTCCTGGGGAAAGTGGAGTGGGTTGTGATTGCCTGGAAATTGCTTCAGGAATAGGCTGGTTCCTGCAATTTGGGAAGGCACCAGCAATGCCAGGAATGCTGAGGAGCATCTGTGCCTGTTCTGGATCTGAGGGCAGGGAAATTGGGCGAGGGAGGTGCTGGTCAGGAGGCCTTGCAGAAACACTTAAATTATGGGATATCCTGAGCTGGAAGGGACCCACAAGGATCATGGATCCAACTCCTGGTGGATCCTGCTCCCTGGGGTCCCTGAGCAGGAAGAGGCCTTGGAGACAGGAGTTTCCTGCAGTTTTAATGGGATTGGGAGCTCAGCAAAGCTGTTAAAACTGGGGAGCACAGGGAGCTCTGCTGGCACAGGGTAGGTCTGGCCCCTGGCTGGTGCTGGGGAGGGAGGATGGGCAGAGATCCAGGGATGTGGGAGGGCTGGGAAAGGCTGAAAAGTCATTTCAGGAGTTGGAGTTTCTGCAGATAAAGAAAAACCACCTTCATAAAACAAAGTTCAAGGAACATTTGGACATTGCTCTCAGCACAGGGCGGGGTTGTTGGGGCTGTGCAGGGCCAGGAGCTGGATCAGTGATCCTAAGGGGTCCCTTCCAGCTCAGGATATTCTGTGTTTGTCTTGTCTGGTCCCAGCAAAGCTGTAAATGAGCCTGCAATGTGCTGCTTAACAAGATTTAACATCAAGGTGCAAAAAGCTTGCACAGAGCTCAAGGAGCCTTTTCTCCCCTGACTGTGGTTGGCTCCTGGTTTTCCTGTTCCATGTTGTACAAAGCTGGGAGTTGATGGTCCTGAGGATGCTGATGGTGACACTTGTTGCTCTGTTGGTCCCTGGCTCCTCTCAAACCTGCTCCCTGGGGTCTCTGAGCAGGAAGAGGCTTTGGAGACAAGAGTTTCCTGCATTTTTAATGGAATTGGAAGCTCAGAAAGAGCCTTTTCTCCCCCGGCTGTGGTTGGCTCCTGGTTTTCCCAGCCCATGTCACACAAAGCTTGGGTGTGAAGGTCCTGGGGGTGCTGATGGTGTGGTGGCACTTCCCCTGTTGCAGAGCTGATGCTGTGGTGATCTCTGGGAGGAAGCTGGCCCGGCAGATCCGGCAGGAAGCCCGGCACGAGGTGGAGCAGTGGGTGGCAGCGGGGAACAAGAGGCCCCACCTGAGCGTGGTCCTGGTCGGGGAGAACCCAGCCAGTCACTCCTACGTCCTCAACAAGACCAAGGCAGCAGCTGACGTGGGTATGGCTGGGGCTCCCTGCCCAAAGCAGCGGGGTTGGGGTAGGAATCCTCCGTGCTGGAGGCTGGGGGAAGCTGCTTGGACTGAATCCATCTGGCAGCTTTTCACCTCTGTCCACCTTCACCTGGAATCTGGGTTCTTGTTGTCCTGGGATGGGGTTGGTAAACATTGTCCATTGGGATCCTTCAGGACAACATCAAGCTCTGTGCTTGGGATTTTCAGCCTTCCCAGAGGCATAAAAAGCACAGGAAGGGCTTTTTGGCCTCCCTTCCTCACCTCAGGGGTCACTGTTCAGCCTCGCTGCTCTGACTCCTTCCCATCTTGCAATCCAAGGTCCTGCTCAGGGTTGGGGGCAAGAAATGGTGTTATTTTAACTTGGGTTCTGCACTGCTGAGAGATTTTTTTGGATTGGAGTTTTTTGGAGCTGAGATTTTTAAGCTGCCATCCCTTTCCTCCTGTGCCCAGAGGGCTCACAGGATGTGTGGTTTTATTTTCATCCTTGGCTGGGTTTCTCTAATCCCTCCCTGCACTGTGAGAAACTCAAACACTCTATCTCAGGTCATTAATCCCATATAATTGTCCTGGGAAGGCTTGGGGAGGTCTCTCCAGCCTGGAAGCTGCTCCTTATTGCCTAATCCATCCAGTCCTTGGTGTGCACTTCTGGGATTTGGTAGAGCAATGAAACAGGGGGGCTTAAAAATCCACAAAGATCAGGAATGTTGCTGCCTTGTGCATAGCCTGGGCTCACTAATGAGGTGTGTTTGGGACGATTTCCAGGGATCAGCAGTGAGACCATCCTCAGACCAGCTTCCATCACTGAGGAGGAGCTGCTGGATTTGATCAGCAAACTCAACAACGATGCAAACGTGGATGGGCTGTTGGTGCAGCTCCCTCTGCCTGGTGAGGAGCTGAACTTCCACCTCTTCCTGTCCTACATGAAGTTTTTAAGGGTTCCCATGTGCTGGGAGGACAATCCTGTGCCACGAGAGGTGGGATCCTGCCCTGGTGGAGTTTAAAGATGTCCCTGCAGCCCCTCAGCACCATCTGCCTGCAGGAGTTTGGTTTCTGGGGGTCACAGGATCTATTCCTGTGCTGGGAGTATCATCTTCCAGTATCAGCTTGAACTCAGTTGTGGCCTTGAGGCTGCCTAAAAATACCCTCAGCATGAGCAAGGCTGTAATTCCAAAGTGCTGTCAGTCCCTCTCTGCTGAGAGCTTTGAGCTGGAAGTGCTGAGGAGCCTCAAGCCTCCACATTTTGGAGGGGTTGGTGCTTCGAGGTCAGAGCTTGAGCCCAGGGCTGGGGCTCAGAACTAACTCAGGGTCAGAACCAAGTCTGGCTCAGGGCTGGGGCTCAGAACCAAGTCTGGCTCAGGGCTGAGAATCAGAGGTGGAGCCCAGGGCGTGCTGGGGTGCCCAGCACAGTTGCAGGCTGAGCCCCCTCTCTGCCCCCCAGGACACATCGACGAGCGCAGGGTCTGCAACGCCGTCAGCCCCGACAAGGACGTCGATGGCTTCCACGTCATCAACGTGGGCCGCCTGTGCCTGGACCAGGACTCCATGTTACCTGCCACCCCCTGGGGCGTCTGGGAGATCATCAAGAGAACTGGTAAGATCATCAAGAGAACTGGGAAGAGCTGCTGCTCCTGCAGGATGGGGCTGCTGTCCAGCAAAATTCCAGCTGGTGTCTGGTTTAAGATTCCCAGCTGGACAACTGTGTTATATGGTGGTGAGGAACTGGCTCATGGGTTGGGCACAAAGTCACAGTGACTGGGGTGGTGTCAGGCTGGCACTGGGGACATTCCACAGGGCTCCATCCTGCAGTTCTCTTCAACACCTTCATCAGCTCAAAGGAAAACTGAGGAACTTGGCTGAGGACACCAAACTGGGAGGAGCTGTTGACTCCCTCGAGGGCAGAGAGGGCTCAGCAGACCAGAGATGGACAATCCCCAACCGTGGGAAGTGGAGCAAGGGCAAGGGCTGGATTGTGCCCCTGGGCTGGGGCAGCCCTGGCTGTGTGTGTGGGCTGGGGATGAGAGGCTGGAGAGCAGCTGCAGGAAGGGCCCTGGGGGTCCTGGTCCATGGCCAGTTGTCCCTGAGCCAGCAGTGCCCTGGCAGCCAGGAGGGCCAACGTGTCCTGGGGGCATCAGGGAGGGGATTGTCCTGCTCTGCTCTGCCCTGGGGCGGCCTCACCTCAACATTGGGGCAGTTGGGGGGGGACACAATATAACAAAACCATTGGAGAGTGTCCAAAGGAGG